ATCTGCGTTTTATTCACAGTGTGCAGTCTTTTTCCTATATCACCACCATAGCGTACCTTTGTGGGCATGTATATGTTGATTATAAACCTCCGTCTGTTATTTAAATCCTTAGAGCCCATGATAAGATATCAATATATAAATTAGGTACGCTGACTGCACACTTTATGAAGATCATTTCACGGCATTAGGGGGATATAAGAGCTCAAATTTTATAGAATGCCGGGAAATTCTATGAATGATTGATCTTCAATATTTGAATCCACGTACTAGGTAGACTGAACTAGAAGTTCAGAAGAAGTAAACTGAACTGGAAGTTCAGAAGATAATTAATCTGCCAATATATATATTGATCATAAAAAGAGTGACTAGGTCCTATATATCTTCCCCAACTTGGACCATATGTATCTACCAATGCTCCTTGACGCCAGAAGCGTGGAGACATGTTGGTATAATCCGCGGAAAGCTAAATCTAGTAGAAAATGGTGTCACTCTTGAAATCGCTTAAAGAAGTATGTCCTGCAGATATTCGTCCAGAAGACATTCGTCCGGAAGGCGAAAAATCCCAGTAAAATTTTAGGTGCACCCAAAATCATAATACTGGGGATGCGGAACGACCAGATAAAAATATTTTTGGGAAATGTCTAGACTCTGGTTGAATTAGAAATTGCCATTATTTTATATATATGGGAGAAATTTATGAAAAATGTTATAGTTGTCGACAACAAAATTGCCTTTACAAATTGTTCTCGTTATATGAGAATCTGGATCCAGAGCTAGGGACCAGTTGTGCCTTGGTATTTTTTTATGTATAACGGAGCAATTAAGGCATGTACAGCTCAGCTCGCTAAAACTGTATTCTCTTTATAACACGTACACCATTTAATGTTAACCCTGTAGGTTACAAATGGGTGTTTGTACGAAAGAGAAATACAAACAATACGGTGGTCTGATATAAAGCGAGACTGGTAGCTTAAGGGTTTTCGCAGAGACCCTGAATTAATTTTGATCAAATATTCTCTCCCACAACATATGGCATTACGTTCTGCAAATTAACATTATTGGCAGTGAATTATGAATTTAGATATGCAGTTGATGAACGTCATGACCGTAATTTACTGGTCATTAGACGCTAATATTTATTTATAAATTCCCGATGGATTCAACACTTTTGGAATGTGGAAAGTGAAAATCACAACGTGTATCATTAAAGTACAAAAGTCTTTGTAAGAATTGAATATCATTGACTAAGTGTTTTTCCTCCTTAAGAAGGAATGCACATTGAATGATTGAGTTGACTATGTATTTTTCCTCCCGAAGAAGGAATATGCAAATATGTACCATTATGTGTTCGTTAAAGAATTGCTAATGGAGTTATTTGTTTATTATCATAGTCGATATTGATGGTTTAAATATCATTGAAACACATAGAGAGCTTGGTGATATCAGCTCATGCTGAAAGACGGAGTTTTGAAATAAAAGGCTTGGAAACCCAAGTATTGTCTCGACCTGAAGATGGAGCTTCTCCTTGAAGAAGTTTTATACACCAGTTAGCCTATTTGAAAAATGTCTTGAAGATGTTTTATATGGATAAGTATTATTTACTTATCACACTAACGGTTATCCAATAACCTCTTAAAGTAGATAAAGGACAATTTAGACTCGAAGATGATAATGAGGATATTTTGGGACTGGAAGTCCATTACTTGATATTTTTATTGGAGCACTATTATAGAACTAGAAGTTCTATAGTCGCATCAGGCCTGATATTGAATTTGCGATGAATTTGCTAGCAAAGTTTAGTGCTCCCTCTACAATGAAATATTGGAATTGTGTTTAACATATCCTCCAGCATTTTCGAGGTATAAAGATTTTGACATTTATGTGAGCAAACAATTTGTGGTTTTGCTGGCTACTTGGGTGCTGGCTCTTTTATTTGATCCATATGATGCTAAGTCCCAAACTGGTTATGCTATGGTTTACCCTCCCAATATCCCATATGAGGACAAATAAGATTGTGTTGCACGAGCAATTCAAGTAATAGGTTTCTTAAGGGGAACCTTACAAAACATATTGCACATAAGTCTTTCTACACACATGAACTCCAGAAGAGTGGTAAAATTCTTGTTGAGAAAGTTTGTCCCAGTGAACAATCTGGTAGATATGCTCACTAAATTTCTTTCTACATCCATTTTTGAGTAATATGTTCATAAAATTGGGATGCGTGGGCTTAGAAGATTGTTATCTTCAGGGGGAGTGACAACCCCTAACTGCACTGGAATGGATAATCTAGAAGGCTTTTGAAATCCTGAAAATTATGCTCCGAAAGCATATGGTTGTACTCTTTTTCCCTTAGCTAAGTTTTTTCCCACAGGGTTTTCTTAGGCTAAGGTATTTAATGAGGCAATCGATGATGGTGCACTTGAGTGGATAGTCCTGAAGGCCTTTGAAATCTTGAAGATTATGCCCGGAAGGCTTATGGTTGTACTCTTTTCCTTAGCTAAGTTTTTTCCCACTAGGTTTTCTTAGGCTAAGGTTTTTAATGAGGCAACCAGTGCAACACAGTGGTTTGACATACTTCGTGTACTCTTTTCCTCGTATAGGTTTTTCCCACTGGGTTTTTCTAGCGAGGTTTTTAACGAGGCATGAGTATAGTTATTTAATGGCCAAGGGGGAGTGTTATAAATATTTTATTAGTGGTCATTAAACCATTAGACCTTTCAATAGCTTAACCTTTAATCATGTATTGATGTTGAGTATGTGAAAGGTTGTATGAAACCTTATATATTGGAGTGAAGGCTAATGAAATGACACACATATTGTTGTGCCCTACATTTGGTGTTCTTCCTCTTCTTCTCCTTTTTTTCTTCTTTACGTATACATGCATACATATATATGAACCTCCGGGCGAGTTACCGTGCAAACATCACGTGAGAACTGAGCTAGTTGATAGGCCAAACTACAACATCATCTAGCATTTTTAACATGTTTCGAATAAGTAACTCATATAATTTGCTGACATGAAAAAATAAAATTAAAACAAAATGCTGACATGTTATTTTGTCATTTAACTTAACTATTTTTGTCACTTTTTTCTGCAGACAATCCGGTGTATCAGAAATTGCTGATGACAGAAGGTAATCCCTTAAAGCCATGATTTTAGATTTTAAATATGTGGCTTACGTTCCTGCAAGTAAGCAAGCCAAATAAACAAAATAAACTTAGAAATAAATGTCAATGTAGAGGATGATGCATTTATAGCCTAATCAGTATAAAAATCTCTCTCTCGCTCACTCTTTATTTATTGCTTTATATTGCATAATTTAACCAAACCTAAAAATTTGATAGGACTAAACTAACATGCAAAAAATTTCAAAAAGGATTAATAAATATTTCTCCGTTGCGCATTCTGACCGAGTAGTTAAAGCTACCTCTCGGTTGCTTTAATCATTCGCGATAGTTTTCAAAATCCTTCAAGTGTATTTGATGTTTTAGTTCTACGTTTATTTTATTGCTCAGTGTTTAGTATTTACGATGTAGGTGTAAAATTTAGTTTTTTTCGTTGACATTTTTTTAAAGTTATCTAGAAATGTATTGTCTATTATTAAAAATTAGTATACTATATAATTTTAAAAGTTGAATTGCACGGTAAAGTTAGTGATAATTACAACGTTTTTTTTTTAAAAAAAAATAAATAAATTGATTTGATTCGATCATTTTTACAATATAGGGTTAAAATTAATTTTTAATTTTTTCTCATGAGAACATATTCTCATGAAAGTGTGACCCTATATATATATAAGGATTTTGGATTTCTGACACAGGTTCCACAACTGTCGAATGGATAACAAATAGAACTAATAGCAATTAGCCCCTATAGCTCAGTGGTAGAGCGTCAGTCTTGTAAACTGAAGGTTTGTAGTTTGATCCTGCATGGGGGCAAATGTATGTGTGAAATGAGAGGGCTTGCAATTGTTGAATTTAAGTTTTGTGTGGAGGAAACATTATGTTAATTTTAATTTAAATAAGAAACAACTGGCCCCTATAGCTCAGTGGTAGAGCGTCAGTCTTGTAAACTGAAGGCCTGTAGTTCGATCCTGCATGGGGGCAAACGTATGTGTGCAATGAGAGGGCTTGCAATCGTTGATATTATGTTAATTTCAATTTAAATAAGAAACAACTGGCCCCTATAGCTCAAGTGGTAGAGCGTCAGTCTTGTAAATTGAAGGCCTGTAGTTCGATCCTGTGGGTCCCTATAGCTCAGTGGTAGAGCGTCAGTCTTGTAAATTGTGAAGGCCTGTAGTTCGATCCTACATGGGGGCAATCATTTGCGTGAAATGAGAGGGCTTGCAATCGCTGAATTTAAGTTTTGTGTGGAGGAAACATTATGTTAATTTCAATTTAAATAAGAAACAACTGGCCCCTATAGCTCAGTGGTAGAGCGTTAGTCTTGTAAACTGAAGGCCTGTAGTTCGATCCTGCATAGGGGCAATCATTTGCGTGAAATGAGAGGGCTTGCAATCGCTGAATTTAAGTTTTGTGTGGAGGAAACATTATGTTAATTTCAATTTAAATAAGAAACAACTGGCCCCTATAGCTCAGTGGTAGAGCGTCAGTCTTGTAAACTGAAGGCCTGTAGTTCGATCCTGCATGGGGGCAATCATTTGCGTGGCATGGGGGCCCCTATAGCTCAGTGGTAGAGCGTCAGTCTTGTAAACTGAAGGCCTGTAGTTTGATCCTGCATGGGCTTGCAATCGGTGAATTTAAGTTTTGTGTGGAGGAAACATTATGTTAATTTCAATTTAAATAAGAAACAACTGGCCCTATAGCTCAGTGGTAGAGCGTCAGTCTTGTAAACTGAAGGCTTGTAGTTCGATCCTGCATGGGGGCAATCATTTGCATGGCATGGGGGCCCCTATAGCTCAGTGGTAGAGCGTCAGTCTTGTAAACTGAAGGCTTGTAGTTCGATCCTGCATGGGGGCAATCATTTGCGTGGCATGGGGGCCCCTATAGCTCAGTGGTAGAGCGTCAGTCTTGTAAACTGAAGGCCTGTAGTTTGATCCTGCATGGGGGGCAATCATATGAGAGGGCTTGCAATCGGTGAATTTAAGTTTTGTGTGGAGGAAACATTATGTTAATTTCAATTTAAATAAGAAACAACTGGCCCCTATAGCTCAGTGGTAGAGCGTCGGTCTTGTAAACTGAAGGCTTGTAGTTCGATCCTGCATGGGGGCAATCATTTGCGTGAGGTGAGGGGGCTGTGTGGCGATCAATGAATTTATGTTTTGTGTGTGTGGGGGGGGGGGGGGGGGGGGGGAAATTATATTAAATTTATGTGTAAATTAAAATTTTGTACGGGCCAAATTTTATTAAATTTACTAGTTAGTACACGCGCTTTGCGCGATTATAAATGCCCAATGTGTATTTATAAAGTAGTGTTCTTTAATTAGTTAAAGTATTCATGTAATAATGAGAAAGATGAATATGAAATTAATAAAAGATAAAGAAATAGTCTTTGTGCTTATATTAGAATAAAAACTAAAAAGATAAAGAAATTCGAAATAGCTAAATTATAACTAAAGTAAAAAATAAAGAAACCATTAACTAAAGCTAACTATCTATCATGGAAAGAGTATTTGTGTTTGTTGAATACCAGTGAACAGGGGTTAATATAGTCTTGTTCTGGATAGATTAAGGGTATAGTTAGGAATCTATAAAGATTTGTATTATAGAACCCTATTAATTAAGACATCAATATTATTATATTAATTCAAAATTAGGAATCTATTAAGATTTGTATTCTATATTCTAATTATAAATTACAATTGTATAAATATGGTAATAATGACATGACAAGTATATATATTTGATATAGCGAAGATGGCATTAGTAAATAAGAAAGTATCGTAATATGGAAATAAATTCCTATTTGTGTATTGATTAATTTTATTACGAAATAATTATGTAAAATATAGAATATTAGGTAAGAAAATTATGATCAAACAAGGAAATCCAAAAATATCGATCTTTTCCGGTACCTTAAATCTCACTCAAAGCTCACAACGGTCAAACACCAAATCTCTTCCTTAATTAATCTGTTAAACCCAAGTACCAGGAAGCTTATTACCCATCTCAAATTACACTTTTAGCCCTCAACCCCTTATTATCCCATTTGACTCGTCCGCAGCTGCAAATTTCCCTTTGGATCATCATTCTTTGATAATCAAGTTTCTTATTTCCAAAAAAAAAAAAAAAAAAAAAAAGCATCTCAATTCTTCGTTACTGTTCAATGTATAATAATGAGAGATAAAAACGAACTTGATTTTTTGGAAATAGTAGACAGAGGATCCATAACTAAAATAGTAGACAGAGGATCAAAAATCAAGTTCAAGGCATAATAATCCTCTGTCTATTAGGAAATGATCCAGAACTAAAAAAAAAATGCACAAAAATTAGCATTAGACAAATCAAGCAATCCTGTTAAGGACTTATCCTAATCACTACCTGCAGAGGCATTCATAAGAATCATCAAATTTGGTTGTTACTGCTTTAGCTAGATAGGTATATACTACATAGTTTGAACATTGGGCCACATAAACTATGAACCCCACACAAACTAATAAATTAAAGCTGGGAAACACCATAAATAAAACTGGTCAGAAAGCTGAAATTCATAAGAAAATTTCTCTAATAGCTCCACTAAAACCTTCTAAGTTATCAAAATTAAAGCTGGAAACTTAAAACACAGAATCAATGAATTAATGGAAAAACTTCTAATAATCTAACAAATAAATATAAGGAGTTCCACACGACGGTAAGCTGAAGAGATTCACATAAAAACAATGAACAAAGACACTTTAAAAATAACTAAGAAATTAACTCTAAAAAAACAATGCTTAAAAATAAATTAGTCTAGCCTTAATAGGAAGGTACCATATATTTCACAGGAAGCATTTCGGCGTCTCAAGTTTATCTCTGCCCGTCGAGTCTCATTACAAGCCTACCGCTCCCTATGTTTTCTATTCCTCTCATCACGACTGGATTTAGGGATTTCAGAATGGCTAGACTCCATAGTAGAGTGGTTTATAAACAATAAATTCAAACTCATGAATGAGAATACAATTTTGAATTCTGATCTTTCTACAATAACATAAATAAATATTCTACATTAACAAAAAATGAAAACCAAAAAAGCATGTTAGAATACGTAACTACTGATTGAAGAACAAATACAGAAAAATGACAAAATCAGTATTAACATTGCACTCACCAATGTGCATTTACATCACCACACTTGAAAGCAAAGCAAATTAAAGACAGAGCAGCAAAACAAATTAAAGTCGAAGCCAACAATTTTCCAGTAGCTCATCCCATTAGCAATGCCAGAACTCTACCAAACAATCCCATTATGTAAATCAATTATTCCAATGGTCCACCAAGCTAGGTGGACCATCTTCTTCATTCAATTAATTCCATTAGCTCACCCAGCCACCATTCAACATACTCAGATTGCTCCAAATCAACAAATAGACTCAGTAACAACCCATTCAAGCCAATCCTTTCCATTTATTTTATTTCACCAAGCCAAGCATTTCCCATCCATCTAGTGTATAATACTGCCCAGTCGGTTTCAACATAAGGCTTCATTTCCCATTTTGAGATCCACCCCATGGCCGCAACATCTTCCACTTAACAAAGCTTTGGACTGTTGCTGCAAGAAACCCCCTCCTTTTCCAGTTCCAAATTAAAAATCCAACACACCACCCACATTCAATGAGTGGAAATTATTACCTTAAGCCCCTTCAACAGTCCCCACGATCCAAGAGCTACTGCAGGGGAGGCACATATTTCAGCATATAATCGTTTTCTTTCAGCCTGTTTTTTAATGATGCTTTCCAAAGTCTTGCAGTCTCTAAGTGTAGATGCACCAGGCATCCCTCCCTGCAATTCAATGAAACATTCCAGGAGTAACATACTAATCAGTAGGGATCATGTAAGACTGATCACTTCTAACACTGAAACACAGGCATAACAAGTAGCAGAATGGACAAGCAACAACATAGCCGTGGGGAAATGCACTTGAGCAGTTTGACAAACCCAAAGATGGGGGCAATGTGATAAAACCTAAACCATAAGCATGAAAATAATCATAAGCCATCCAATTTGGATTGAGGGTTTTTTTATCTGGACTTATGTGCCTTTGTTTTTAACAGGCAACTTGTTACCCATCTTTCATGGATCAGCTGTCATCTTCTGCAAATGCTGTTGAATCGAGAGTGCAGGTGAATGGCAATGTTGTGACAAGTCGTGGAACTGGAACTGTCATGGAGTATGCTGGTCCACCAAGCTAGGTGGACCATTTTCTTCATTCAATTAATTCCATTAGCTCACCCACCCACCACTCAAGCCAATCCTTCTTTTCCAGTTCCAAATTAAAAATCCAACACACCACCCACACCCCTAAAAAAAAAAAAAAAAAAAGGAAAATTCTCAAATAGATGTAATTCAATCTCTGCATAATTGCATACCAGACGCAAAGAGACCAAATCAGCTTTCCTCTCGCTTTAGTTTTGATTCTCCTTAGGATGCTTTTTCTGCACTAATTTGTTTGCTGTGTTTCTTCCCTGGTGTGTGATTCTCCTTAGTCGCGGACGGTCGTGCTGTGCTTTCTCCTTAGTAGCGGTCGATTGTGCTTCTCCTAATTGCCCTTTGCTGGTGTTTGATTCTCCTTCGTCGCGGACGGGCGTGCTTCTCCGAACTGCTACCCTAATTTGTTTGCGGTTGGCTGTGCTTCTCCTATTGCCATTAAATTTCGGGAAAATTTTAGTTTTGCCACGGCGCGACTTAATTTGACGGAATCTTTAAATTTAACCTTGAAAGTTTGGTAAAATTAAGAAGAATGAGGTTATATTAAGATTTCAAGTTGGCATTGTATAATTAGAAAGGCACAAAGTACAATTCTTTAGAGCATGGGTTGTACCGACATTTTTTTTAGTACCCGTTAAGGGTCTAACAATATTGGCTCTTATTAAAGTTGTATGTATGTATTGTATGTATTGTAGATGTAGATTGTAGATGTGTAAATTAAAACATATTTATATAAATTTAAGAAAAATTGTAATTTATGTCCCTCCTTAATATGGCAATTATCAATGTCACCCCTAAATTATTATTGGTGTAAATGTTGCCTCTCAATTAGGGACGACAATGCTACCCGCACCCAATAGGCTCCCCGTATTCCCGCCCCTACGAGTTTTAAAATACCCACATAATTTGGGTAATGAGTGCGGGGTGGGGGGGAGGGGGGGGGGGGGCAAATTATATTAAATTTATGTGTAAATTAAAATTTTGTACGGGACAAATTATATTAAATTTATGTGTAAATTAAAATTTTGTACATATTTATATAAATTTAGGAGAAAATTGTAATTTATGTTCTTTTCCTAATATGTCAATAATTAATATCACCCTTGAATTATTATTGGTGTAAATATTATCTCTCAATTAGGGATGACAATAAACTTATTTTTGTGTGGGGGGCAAATTATATTAAATTTATGTGTAAATTAAAATTTTGTACAGGTCAAATTATATTAAATTTATGCATAAATTAAAATTTTGTACATATTTATATAAATTTAAGAGAAAATTGTAATTTATGCTCCTCCCTAATATGTTAATTATCAATGTCACCCCTGAATTATTATTGGTGTAAATGTTACATCTCAATTAGGGACCACAATGCTACTCGCACTCAATGGGTTCCCTGCATTCTCGCCCTACGGGTTTTAAAATACCCGCACAATTTGGATAATGGGTGTGGGGTGTGTGGGGGGGAAATTATATTAAATTTATGTGTAAATTAAAATTTTGTACATATCTATATAAATTTAGGAGAAAATTGTAATTTATACTCTTCCCTAATATGCCAATAATTAATGTCACCCTTAAATTTTTATTGGTGTAAATGTTGCCTCTCATTAGGGATGACAATAAACTTACGTTTTGTGTGGGGGGCAAATTATATTAAATTTATGTATAAATTAAAATTCTGTACAGGGCAAATTATATTAAATTTATGTATAAATTAAAATTGTGTACATATTTATATAAATTTAAGAGAAAATTGTAATTTATGCCACTCCCTGATATGCCAATTATCAATGTCACCCATGAATTATTATTGTTGTAAAAGTTCTCTCAATTAGGGACGACAATGTTACCCGCACCCAATGGGTTCCCCGCATTCTCGCCCCTACCGGTTTTAAAATACCCACACAGTTTGGGTAATGGGTGCGGGTATGGGGGTAATTTTGTTACCCACACGGGTATGGGGGCGTGTGCGGGAGAGGTATCTCCACCCCGCACCCGCACTTATATATATTGTTATTAGTATTCATTTATTATATAAGTTTATGTATATTTTATAATTAAAAATGCATAATGAATTAAACTTCTTAGTGGTTTGTTAATGAAAATTGAATATGAACAACACAAATAACATATTGAGTAAACATTTAATACAATTTATACTACCAACACAATTTTAATTCCTATTAAGAATTAACTTCATTGGCTCTTATTAAATTTTAGTGTTATATTCAAACTTATTAAAAAATTCATGCGATAATTAGAATTATAGTATAAAATTTGTTAGATTTAAATGTAATATTAATAATTAGAGTTGCTAGTTAGTTATTACCCGCACCCGCAAAATCCCCGCGGGGACAGGTATGGGGTAGAAATTTTATTACCCACACGTGTACGGGTGCGGTTGCGGGGAGTGGGTTGGGAATGCGGGTGCTGGGGCGGGGGATATATCCCCGCACCCACCCCGCCCCATTTCGATCCTGCATGGGGGCAATCATGTGCATGAGATGAGGGGGCTGTGGGATTAATAAACTTACGTTTTGTGTGGGGGGGAAATTATATTAAATTTATGTGTAAATTAAAATTCTGTACGGGCCAAATTATTTTAAATTTATGTATAAATTAAAATTTTGTACATATTTATATAAATTTAAGAGAAAATTGTAATTTAGCTGTCCCTTCCTAATATGTCAATTATCAATGTCACCCATGAACTATTATTAGCAGGGTTGCAAAAATCCCGCCTAGGCACCGAGTAATCGGCGCCTAGGCGCTAGGCGCCCCTAGGCCGTGGCGATTTTCCCCCTAGGCTCCCGCCTAGGAGATCGGCCGCCTAGGCGCCCGCCTAGCGCCTAATTTGGCCGCCTAACGCCTAACTCGGCCGATTACGCCGAGTTAACTCGTCAATTTCTGTCAAGTTAGCCGAGTTAACCCGGCCAACTCGACCTTGCTAATTTTTTTCATTCGGCCGAGTTAACTCGTCAATTTCTGTCAAGTTAGCCGAGTTAACCCGGCCGACTCGACCTTGCTAATTTTTTTCATTTATATATATATATATATATATATATATATATATATATATATATATATATATATATATATATATATATATATATATATATATATATATATATGTATGTATGTATGTATGTATGTATGTATGTATGTATGTATGTATGTATGTATGTATGTATGTATGTATGTATGTATGTATGTATAATATGACATATATGCACCTACACACGTGCACTGTTTTCCATTTTTTCAGTTAGCCGCTTAGGCCGTCTAGGCGCTAGGCGCTACTCTACCGCCCGACTAGCGCCTAGCGCCTATTGCAACCATGATTATTAGTATAAGTTTCCTTTGCTGATTTACTTGATAAAGCGTTATACACACGGGTTGGGTGTGGGTGAAAGGTTGACTACTTTCGGGTGGAGGTAGGCCGAGTGGGTGCGAGTTAACTGACCATGGAAGGATGTGGTTGATGGTGTTGCGTTTTTTTTTTTTTTTTTTTTTTCTCTTTCTCCTTTTGTTTGTTTTTCTTTTAGGATAGTTTAATTGTGTTGGGATGAATCCCGAATTTTGTCGTTCTCAAGGGATGGCCACTCGGAGTTACCCTAAGTTACTAAGGTTGGAAAGTAAAGACATCGGTAATGTTTGCAAGCATGTCATGCGCACACAATTGAATAACGTCGTAGTGGATGAACGATATGAATGTTAACAACAAAGAACACAATAATAAACAAGTAGCGTTGAATTACTTAGTATGGATGAAGATGCTAAGCGGATCATTTGACATAGGTAAAGAGGATGTCATTGCTAAGCCTATGGAGTGGCTTACGTCCTTTCGTAACTTAGACTACTAGGACTTTACTTAGGTTTTCACTTAAGCCTTTCCTCGAATACCTTACCTTCAACCCCTTCCTAACCAATCCCTGTAGGGTTCCTTGAGCTAGGAAATGCTAAGGATAGGAGCTTGGATTGACCTAGCATAGGTCAATCCCTCAAACACCATAGGAGGTGATCAAGTTCCTAGGTTCCATACAAAACAAACTTCAACAACAAGACATAAAAGCCATGTTATCAATCAATCCCTAATTTGAGAACTAAGTCATGGAAGCATCATCAACACACACTTTCACAAACCAAACCCTAACAAGACTAGCCTACAAATCTACAATAGACATGGAAATCATAAAAGCATTCATAGATCTAACCCTAGCAAAGCAAGTAGAAATAGAAAAGAGTAGAAATTATATCCAAAAGTAGATTAGGAAAATGAAATCAAGCCTTGCAAGATCTCTTGAAATGGAGTTTGTCAAGCTCTTCCTTCTATCAATCTCTCAAGAACTAGCTTGGATCTATCAAATCTTCTCTACAAAAGTGTTTCTCTCTAATTCTAAATGCTACTCTATCTAAATAATTGCTCATTACCGGATGGACTAAATGACACGAACATTATTTTGATCCCAAAGAAGAAGAGCCTAGAAATGGTTTCTGATTATAGGCCAATTGCTCTGAGTAATGTCGTCTACAGAGTTATGGCGAAAGTTATTACGGGTAGGATGAAGCCACTGATGGAGAGTATTATATCTGAGGCCCAGAGTGCATTTATATCTGGAAGACTTATTACGGACAATATCCTGGTAGCCGCGGAAGTTGGCCATTATTTAAATAGAAAACAATGTGGACTAGCTGGCTGGGGGGCTTTGAAATTGGATATGGCAAAAGCCTACGATCGTATGGAGTGGTCGTTTTTGCAGGAGATGTTAAAGGCCCTGGGATTTGATGACAGATGGGTGAAGTTACTGATGATGTGTGTGACCACTGTGTCGTATAATGTATTGGTGAATGGTTCAAGGACTGATCAAATAATCCCAACTCGTGGTTTAAGACAAGGTGATGCGTTGTCCCCTTATTTATTCATTATTTGTGCTGAAGGCCTTTCAATATTATTACAGCGAGCAGAGATGAATCGAGAAATCCATGGATGTAGAGTAGCCAGAGGAGCGCCCTCCATCTCCCACTTGTTCTTTGCTGATGATAGTCTTCAAAGCAAATGTACAGGAAGCGGGAGTGGTTAAACGATGTTTGACAGATTATGAAATGATGTCTGGTCAGGCGGTAAATTACCACAAGTCGAGTATATGTTTTAGTAAGAATACACGGGGCGAAATACGAGAGGAAAATGCTGGTATATTGGGAGTAGTGCAGGCTCAAAATTTTGGAAAGTATTTAGGGCTTCCATCTTTTGTGGGCAGGAATAGAAGAGAAGCATTTTCTTATATTGAAGATAAAATAAGACAGAGAATTGGCTCGTGGAATAAGAAACTGTTATCACAGGCAGGGAAGGAAGTTCTTTTGAAAAGTGTGGCTCAGTTTATGCCTACCTTTTCAATGAGTGTGTTCCTTTTGCCTATGAATCTGTGCACTGCCATTGAGAGAACTATGAATCGGTACTGGTAGAGATCGAGAAATGATCAGGGTATTCATTGGAAAGCCTGGGACAGACTGTGTATTCCGAAGAAGTTTGGTGGACTGGGTTTTAAAGAGTTGAGGGCCTTTAATCTTGCAATGCTGGGTAAGCAAGCATGGCGTTTCCTGACACAGCCACAATCAATTGTTTCAAGAGTATATAAAGCCAGGTATTATCCGACTAATTCTTTCTATGAGGCATGCTTGGGGAATAACCCAAGTTTTTGTTGGCGGAGTATTTTGGCGGCTAGGAATTGATTTGTGGGGGAGTAAGGCGCAGAATTGGGAACGGCGAATCAACTCTGATTTGGGACCACCCGTGGTTGCATGATGAGAACCAATCAAGAATTTTAACAGAAATGCCGCCCCAGTTGACGCAGGCAAAAGTGGTGGGTCTAATGGACCAGCAGACTGGAACCTGGGATCAAGATATTCTCACAGATATTTTCATACCTCAGGATGTGGAGCGAATTTTAAGAATACCTGTGTCCCCTGATTATGAAGATATGTGGTACTGGTATGGGGATCCAAATGGGGAATATTCTGTTAAAAATGGATATAAAGCAGTGGTAGGCAATTACACCCAGCCAGTGGGGACCTTTGATGAATGGAAAAAATTATGGAGTTTAAAAGTCCCCCCAAAGTGGAAAACATTCTTATGGAGAGTCCTAACTGATATTTTACCCACCACGGAGAACTTACTTATAAGAAGAGTGGATATTGATCCAACTTGTGCAATGTGTGGTGTTGGGCATGAGAATCTTGTGCATTCTTTAATCACATGTGATTATACGGCAAACATTTGGACACTATCTAACCTTCCAATCCTCAATAGTGTCACAAATATTTTCAGTGATTGGTTTAATGATTTGATGAATATTTTAGATGATGATGGGATTATTTATGCAGTGGCCCTCTTATACTACATATGGCGTGCAAGAAATGGAGCTGTATGGGAAGCACATTTGCCCAGGCCTCGAAAATTAGTGGTAATGGCGTTATCAGCCATGAATGCGTGGAGGACAGTACACCCCGAACGACGAAATCTCCTGGCCACTACCACGCCGCCACCTGGCAGAAACACGGCAGTCACCACTGCCCGAACCGTTGCGGCAATGACTGTGCCGAGGCAAGGGGCCGAAACTGCAGTGCCATCGCCCCAATTGATTCCTACAGGTATGTTACATCCTACTATGCAAGGCATGAGGGATCAATGCTATTTCGACGCGGCTTACGACCCACGGACGAACAAGGCAGCAGTGGGGGCTATTATTCTGGATTCGCAAGGAGGATACGTGTCGGCTATGACCGTCCCTATGATAGATTGTTTTTCGCCTCTAATGGCGGAGGCCTTTGCATGCAAGGAGGCCTTGTCATGGTTACGAAGTCGACAAATAAACTCAATCGACCTCTACACAGATTGTTTGGTGCTACAGCAATATTTATCGTCTACGACACACTCGTCACGGACTTACTTGGGTTATGCCATTGATAGTTGCAGAACTAGTTTATCGTCTTTTGATTACTGTTTATTACATTATGTTTCTAGACTAGAAAATTATTTGGCGCATACATTAGCATCTTCCGCTTTTGGTCAGCTGACTAGTATGTATTCAAACTCTGATTCGCCGCACTCTATTTCTGCATATTTTCAATAAATGCCAAACAGACTCCCTTAAAAAAAATGCTACTCTATCTATTTCTCTTTCAAAAATTGTGTCTCTCCTTTACAAATCTGATCTAAAACACTTTAAATAACCTCCCATTTCATTTCTTTTTGCAGCCCCTTCAACGCAGCCTTCAACGCCCGGACAACGTGCGTTGTCCGGGAACTTATTCTGCCCAACGTGCGTCACAACGCACATTGTGCTTGGCGTGGAAGTTTCTGGAATTCCAGCCCTGTTTGTGTCCCTCCACAACGTGTGCTGCAACGCACGTTGTGGACTCGTTGCTAGGTCCCGGCTTGTCTTCTTATCCCGCTTTCATTCCAGTTGTGCCACTTTGCCTCGTTTAAGCCTGAAACTTACCTAAAAACCTGTAAAACGTAAAGTGCGGTGGTAATTTCCAATATAATGCAAAACATAGTTAATTGGCACAATATTGCTACACAAAGGATTGCTTTTAGCCTAGAATTCACCCCAAATGGACCTTAAAAGTGTGCATCTTTGACACTTATCAGTGGTTAAATGGTTAATGTCCACCTACTTATCACCAATTGGTTTTAAGTAGAATATGGCAACCAGATAGCGAAAAAACTTTTTGGTTAAGCGTGCTTGACTTACAATTGTCACAGGATGGGTGACCTATTAGGCAGTAAGCATAGTGACCCATTAGGAAATAAGCATAGTGTAGCGTTGAGATGCATCACTCTCCCACCTCCTTAGTATGGAAGGTATGTACCTCATGTGTTTTTTCTTTTTGAACTAGTTTTTGAATTTTGTAGGTCGATAAAGTGCCTAATGGTCGGCCTACAACCTCAGCGATCGGCCTGGGGTCTTAGTGGTAGGCCTTCAGCCATAGCGGATTTGGTCAGGGAGACACATAAATAGTACTTCAAGATTCATTACGTGTCCAAGGACTTTTGTTCTTTTTGGCATCTGTTATTTTGGCATCTGTTATTTTGGCACAAATCTTTTTGGTTCTGAAAAAGAAACAGTTCGAGAAAGTTCAATTGGCCGAAATGAATTTCTAGACTCGCAGATTTAGCGACATCAAGTTCGTAAAAATGACCAAATTGTTGTTAGCGATTATGAATGATCAAAAAACTGAAATGATGAAAAACCTTTGGCTTATTTAGACTCTTCTTCCAAATTTATATACTCTTTTTTTTTCTTACCAGTCTCAATTTTAGCAAATTTTGTCTAAATCTACTATCTACTATACTAATAAGAGCCGAAGAGAGTTAGGCCTATAATGGGTAGAAAAAATGGCGGTCAAATTTTTCCGTTAACTTTTCCGTTAAATATGATTATCCATTAACTTTTCCGTTAAATATTATCTTTTCTGTTAGTTCACCGCTAACTTACTCATTGATTTCAATAAGAAAGGTCTTAGGTTCGAACCTCATTCCAATCAAAGTTGGCATAATTAGTACTCTATTTTACTCTTATTAAATTAAATTAAATAATAATTTAGTAGCTACAACAAAAAAAAAAAAAAAAAAATACATATGCATTTCTTTAATTTAGAATTATGTGTCTACAATGTCTTTATTCAAAAAAAATTATTCATTATCAAAAAATTAAATAAAAGAAATAATTTCATTAGTTATATTGTATTTATTTTTCTCTAATATAAAAATATAAAAATTCTTTACATTCAAATTCATCAATTGATTATATTCGCTACATTGTCCCTACAATGTCTTTATTTAAAAAATTATTCATTATTAATAAATTAATTAAGAGAAATAATTTTATTAGTTATATTGTCTTTATATTTCTCCAATGTAAAAATTCTTTACATTCAAATTAATCCATTGATTATATTCACTACATTGTCTATTATCTTTTTTGTGCACTATTTTTTAATTGAATATCAAAGTTATAACACAAAATAATGCTATATATTCATTTATCAAATATTTTATTAATACCATGGAAAAATTAAAAAAATATAATTAATAAAGCCAATCATATTAACTAGAGGGATTTGTTGACAAAGAGAGTATTCAAATCACACAACAAATTGAAGTGAGAAGTACGTATCTCGCAATGTCCTTGTTTGACAATTAACAGTTAGCGGTTAGCGTTAACGGATTATATTAGCGAATTTGACCAGCGAATTATATCAACGGTTGGTAAAAAGATATTTAAAAAAATTAGTTGTTTAAATTAACATGTAAAATGATCTAAGGGTATAATAATAATAATAATAATAATAATAATAATAGTAATAATAGTAATAATAGTAATAATAATAATAGTAATAATAATAATAATAATAATAATAATAATTATTATTATTATTATTATTATTATTATTATTATTATTATTATTATTATTATTATTGTTTTTTGAAAAAAAATAAATAAAAATAAAATTAAGCCAATCATATTAAGTACTTGGGAAATTTTTTGACAAAAAGTGTATTCAAATCACACAACAAATTAAAGTGGGAAACTATCTCGCAATGTCCTTGTTTGGCAATCAGCAGTTAGCTCTTCAATATTAGTATATATTTAATATTTTATGTCTTAATTTTTATTTGTTCTCCCTTATGTCCCGTATTTGGTTTCAACTATACCTATACAATTATTTTATTGACAATTATAATCAATTTTGACTATATTATCTTGCATTTGTAAACTTAGAATTGCCTATTTAAATACGCAAATTTTACATTCAATTATCTATGCATGAACAATTTCAATGTAATCTTGCCTTGATATACTTTAAAGTACTTATTTAAAAAAAATATATTGGGCATTATCCCAATCGCTCAATGCGCGTAAAAAACTAGTACTAGATATAAGTTTATAAGTAAGCATAAGAGGGGAACAGATAAATGCGGGGAACAAATCATTTTAGGAGATATTCCTCGTCTTCCTTGTCTTAGTCTTCGACACAAGAAAGGGGGTGGAGAAAATTCTCTTTTTCTTGCCTTGTGTCGAAAGAGTAAGGATTCATGATCCTGTTCGTTAAAGATTCCTAGCCTTGGTTTCTATTTCTCCAAACGTATCCCAACGGGCCCTTTCGATCAACTTCTTACTTAATTGTCTAACTTACTTAATAGTCTAATTTAGAATTGAAAAAAAAAAAAAAAAAAAAAAAAAGGAGAAAAAGAAAAAAAAGAAGGAGAAAGAGAGGGAATTTTTTCAATTTTGATGAAATACGAAAAGAAATAGAAAAATAGAATAGAAGAAATAGAATAAAAGAAATAGAGAGTAAGGTTTATTAGCCTATAGAAAGTATTGGCACGATATCTAATCTACAGATATATAGATCCATTATAGCATCTAGGTAATTCCCTCTTTCTAAAGTACTGATAG